TCCTCCTCCTCTCCCTCCTATTCCTCCTCATCCTCTTCCTCCTCCTCCTCATCATCATCATCATCTTCTTCCTCATCCTCATCCTCCTCCTTCTCCTCTAATGTCGACGTGCCACGTGGCAGACCTTTTTTTTTTTTTTTTTTTTTGGTTCGGCTATTGTAACGCCGTTCTTCTTCCCTCCTCCTCCTCCTCCTCCTCTTCCTCCTCCTCCTCCTCCTATTCCTCCTCCTCTTCTTCCTCCTTCTCCTCCTCATCATCATCATCTTCTTCCTCCTCCTCATCCTCTTCCTCCTCCTCATCATCATCATCATCATCTTCAGAACTTTCAGTGTTTCACTAACTTTCAAAACCTGAACGACCTGGACCTGCGTGGACAGAACGGCAGACAGGCCCTACCTGTGCTCGGGAAAATGCATGGCATTTATCGAATCGGCGCACTGTGCGCAGAGGTCCCGAGGCCCTGTGCGCACAGCGCACGGCGCACAGTGCGCTCGTGGAAAATGGGCCGCACTGCGCACAGCGCCCCGCCCCGCACTGCGCACCGCACCAGGGCGCCGCAAGTATGGTTGGAACCAATCCACTTTATGGGTTCATACTATGTTAATACTAGTAGTTAACAACAACAACAACAACAACAACAACAACAACAACAACAACAACAACAACAACAACACAACAACAACAACACAACAACAACAACACAAATTATAGCCAATGATCAAGTCCTTTAATGGCAAAGTGATCTGATAACCAAACCCCCACCATCAATGAATGAAACCCACCTGCATAAGGGTAAAACCAATGATATAGGAACTTACCATTGTAACGATCAGTTACAAAGGTTACCATGTGGTTACCTTGTGGATAATGTGGTCTGATATTGGTAGCTATACGATTTAGCGCTGCATGATAACCGCGACCAATCACAGTTATCAAACCATCAAAAAAAAAAGAAGGGAAAATTGCATCTGCACGGACAGACTGCACCCCATTTAAAGATGGGAATACCTGCTATACCCAGTCGCAGCGCCCAACTTGCATCTATACACATACCCCGTTCACCTTAATCTAGCACCCAACTTTTGCGTGTGCGAAATTGTACACATACCCGTTCCAGCAGGTCCTCTGTAAAGGACCACAAAATTATGCTCGTGCCCGGAAACAGGGCTGTTAAAATTGTGGCTCTACCCACACGGAGATGGCATTTCGAATTTGAAATGCACATCCCCCCTTTCCCCCATCCTTCATCTCGTCTTGCCCCTATACCTTCCAGTACAAGAGAGAGAGAGAGAGAGAGAGAGAGAGAGAGAGAGAGAGAGAGCATGTGTGTGTGAGAGAGAGAGAGAGCGCATGTATGTGTGAGAGAGAGAGAGGTGCACATGTGTCAATGGGTGCACATGAGAGAGACTCTCTCTCTCTCTCTCTCTCTCTCTCTCTCTCTC